AAAAAAAAATCCCTGATTGGTGACTCTTACATTGACAACTACATGAGGTTAACCACACTAGTGTGAGTATTTGTCATTCCATAATCGCAACTCGAAGTAGGAGATTTGATGGAGGCCCAACTTGACAACATTACACATCAGTGTTGAAACGTTTGGAACCTTTAACACTTCTCAATCGACCTCATCGCTATATAATGTTCTTAATTGTTAGAGGCTTCATCTACAGTGGCAATTGGCAACAACAAACAAGTCTTAATCCTAGTAATTTTGGATCAATTACATGACTCCTCTTCATCTCTGTATACTTATTATGGAAAAATCCAAAGCCATCAAATCCTTCATAACCACATCAAGCCCTATTAATGTTGGCCTCTCTCTCTCTCCTAACAAGTTCTACAGGAATCACATCATTCTTGTAAATGGGAGCTTCTTCAGGTCTTCACAAGATATTACACGAACCAATTAAGTTGTCATTCCCTAAATCCTCATCTGATCCTACCACTACTTGTTGATGTATATAATCATTTTTTATTTTATACATTCTACATAACAACTATCCATCTTAAAATTCTCACTTCCGTTATGTTCATCTTACGGGCATATTTGCCTTCTTAAACTAGTAAGTGTTTTCGTGTCATATATAGTCCTTGATAAATGAGAATTGAAAGTTTTAGAATCTTTTAATACTTCTCATTCTCCTCAAATCATGTTTATAATGGTAAAATGAGGCAAGGAAAAAAGAATAGATAAAGCAAGATACATTAAAAGCCAGAATCCTATGAATTAAGTCCTCGTGATACACTACAATGGTGTTTTGATGCTTAGAGGCCTCACAGGCAATAGCAATAACAAACTAATTCCCCATTTGGTGGGAATTAAAATCTAAATTTTAATCTAAATCAAAGCTAACAATCAATTTTAACCACATATTTATGGGACCTACAAATTTTCAACCACATAATTCATCAACTTTTATCACCAAAAATCTTATTTTAATCCCCACCAAACAAAGGCTAAGCCTTGTTCCCATAAATTGAGATCAACAACACAACTCCTTTTCCATGTGTCCGTCTGAACGATGAAAAAATGATGCAATAAAAGACTTTTGGCTGTGTTTCAGTTAATCATGTCGGAACTGGATGAAAAATAACTTTTCATGCAAAATGGACCTCTGAGAAAAACTCGTGAGCTCAGTGATTTTTTTGCCAAATTCTACTCTTTAGTTGGTTAAAATGGGCTCTCCTTATTCTGGAGAAAATTATTTAATTTCTTTATCATTAGAATTCTTATTTGATTAGGAGTTTAATTTGTTTCCTATAATATGTGTTTGTTTAGAAGATAAAGTTCAGAATATCTGTGTTTCCCTTATTTGGTTGTTTTTGCATATTATTACCAAAATGTGAGATTTCCAATTCCTTTTTTTTTTATCCAGATTGGTATTCTGCAAAAATAAACAATTTATTAATAAAAATCAATTATTCCACATTCCACGGCAAATCAACGAGTTTTTAGGCGTGTTCTGTGTTATAGGAATTTCTCACTTCATGCTACATCAATTATCTCATGCTATCAAATTATTCATTGTCACATTAACCCTTATTAATTAGGCTACTTTTCTCCTGACATTATTCTAGTAAATAGGAGTTTATCCAGATTGGTATTCTGCAAAAATAAACAATTTATTAATAAAAATCAATTATTCCACATTCCACGGCAAATCAACGAGTTTTTAGGCGTGTTCTGTGTTATAGGAATTTCTCACTTCATGCTACATCAATTATCTCATGCTATCAAATTATTCATTGTCACATTAACCCTTATTAATTAGGCTACTTTTCTCCTGACATTATTCTAGTAAATAGGAGCTTCTTTAGGTCTGACTGTCTGAGCAAGATATGTCCACCACCTAAGTCCCACTAATTTATCCTTAATCCCTACTATCTCTACTTGTCGACGTATGTACTCATTTTATCTTATCTGCTTCAGATGACCACCCATCTATCATAATATCCTCACTTCCGTTGCACTCATGTTAACAGGCACATTTGCCTCCTCGAAACTTATACCTGTTTTCCTCTTAGTTTGTTACATTTACATAAAATTCTTGAATCCTTTTAACTACTTTTCCATTTTATCCAATTGACTCTAATGTCACGCATTCAAGAATCCTAGTTCCAGCTCCATGCTCTCAGAATTTAACAAGTTTTATACTAAAGATGATTAAAAAGATAAGAAGAGCTCCTGTGTAAATAAAAACTGAAAAACATAAACAGAGCATGTTTACCTTTAAAGTTTCTTATATAAATTTGACGAAAGAAACCTAAATTGATCCAACAAAATATGCATTTCAAATTGATGTGTATAGTTGTAAAGAATTAATTCTATTCCTTTTCCAATTTTACTTGTCCTGTTTTGGGCATGGTTAGTTTGGTGGCAAAGATGTAAAACAGCAAGTCATATATGAGCAATTTTACTTCTTAGATTTAGAACATCGCCTTCAACATGTTATAAGTCACCATGATATTCCAAGTTTTAAATCAGTTTTTTGGGTAAATTTGCAATGATGCTCTATTATTAAAGTTGAAACATCTTTAGAAATAAAAATGTAATTCTGATGCAATACCTGAGGTGACTTTTCAGCTGCTGATTTCAGATCGGCTACAGCTCCCTCCCAATCTTCTACCAAAAGTTTGGCTTCACCCCTCTGGAACATTTGAGGAAAAGTTAACCAAGATAACATCAACAAAAAAGTTTAAAAACTACTGACCAGGTCAAGTTAGACAGTATAGATTAGGAAGCATCTTAATGCATTTTTCTTTATTCTCAGATAAAACCATAGTTATAACAGAAGGTAGAAACCTGGACAAGAGCTTCAATAAGCTCTTCATCAATTTCAAGAGCTCCTGAGCAGCTTGTTACTGCTTCCTTTCCCCTACCAAGCTTCACCAAGACCTTACATAATCCAAGATGAAGGTGCACATTATACGCAGTATGGTCTGGATCCAAGGCAAGGGCAGTCTTATATTCCTCCACTGCAAGACGAAGCTTACCTTTACTTGCATTATCTTCTGCCTGCATTAAATAAATTACATTTGAGAAATGATCAATATTACGTCATTGAATAACAATGAATTGCTACATTAAGCAACTAAAAACATTACAGATTTAGTCTTTTTGAGCAAATTTTTCAATCCAAAATACGCTTTCTTCAATTCACTGTGCTCAGGGTCTAGGCGAAGACCCTTCTGGTAATGCCTGAGGAAGAAAATATGCAAATATAAAATGTAAGAAAAACTCAACCCTCAAATAAGTATGACATAAAAAGGTCATTACTTCTTTGGTTTTCCATCTTATTTCTATTGCATTTTCTTGCTTTGGGGTGGGGTTGGGCATGGTACGGGGATGTGAGTGTGAGCAGCAGGAAATCATAAATGTTTTTCAGAACACACCTAATAGCAACGTCATGATCTGCCAAATAATAATAGGCACGGCCACGTAATAGCAACGCCTCTAAGTTATCCTCATCTTCTTTGAGAATATATCCCGTTTCAGATATAGCACTGGAATAATCTTTAGCTGATAATAATAGTCTCACTTTAAGGAGTTTGGCCTGCAACAAAGCAACAGACAATGCACGGGCTAAGTTGAATCTATATATTGCAGCGTGCCAGAGCCAATTTACACAGTAAATGAAATCATAATTCAAAAATGAATACAGATCAAATACATACGTTGGAGCAGGCTGGAGAGAAAACAAGTACAACTTTATCAATGAACTCCAGTGCTTTCGTGAACTCGCCTGAATCAAAGAGGCTTTTAGCTGAATCCAAGGCACTTTGGGCTTGAAATAATTGAGAAAGCTCCTTCTCTGCTGCTGAATTCTTGGGCTTCATCTCCAGAAACTTTTTGTAGCTTTTTTCTGATTCCTCATATCTACATTACCCAAAAACTTCTGAATATTATATATTTTGTCAATCAAATCATTGTATACAATTGAGGAACAAACTTCTTGGAAGCACTATGGATCTATTAAACTACTTCATCTGATATGAAATGAATTATTATATAAATTGAGGAACAAACTCAGGGCCTACAAACTGCAAAATCAATAATGATGCCCCTATGAAACATTTCAATAATGAATGGAAGGAAGTACTGTGTGATTTTAAACTATACAACTAGTAAGAGCAGTCCAAATCCAGGAAAACTCATTCAGCTCCAATTTAGTACTGGCATTCAGAGGATACCTACTCACTAATTGTTTGGAAATCATTATCTTCAAGTGCATAATATATATCATAAGCCAATTAAATGTGTTCGACAAAGAAAACGAAGAAAAAGTCTGTTCATGGACAAAGTTTCAATTTTCTTCAAAATGCAGTAACAAAAATTCCTATATCCAACCTGCAAAACCGACGAAGAATAGATGCTCGATGCCAATATGCATCAGAAAGTCCAGGATCAGCCTCTATAGCAGCATTAAGATCATCAAGTGCTTCACTATATTTCTTAACTTTTATACTTTGTGAAGCTCTCTCGAAAAGAGCAGCAGCATCACTAGGTTGACCATCTGCAGATTGAAACACAAAGACACCCACTAAGTGCAACAATCAACATTCTAATATCAAATTATCTTGGGAGACCAAAAACATAATCATTAATAGAGCTCTCCATTCACCTTCCGCAAGTTTTACACACAATAGGAGTGTTATTTATAACTTTCGATGCTTCTTTTCAGTTTGATAGTCACTTATTCTTTCATATGTGATCACCATGGTTCTAGGGGGAAAAAGACTGTAATTTATGAAATTTGCAGCATCTTGGTCGCTAAATGAGAAAAAAAGAAAAGATTTCACCTACTACCTCATAGAAAGGTTAATCCTTCGAGAAAAAACTACGTTAGTTTCTTGAATTTTTATCAGCACTGCTGAATTTTTGTCTTTTTCAATAGAAAACAGAATATTGAAGTCATGCTTGTTGTCACATGCTATATAGATATCAATTTAACTTTAAATACAAATTCCAGAACATCAATCTCTTTCAAATCGACAAAAAAAAATTGTTAGATTGGCACCCACCCAAAAGCAAATATTCAGCTTTCCATTATGTTATTCATATGCAAAACTGGAAGAATCCAGATGTTGTGAAGGATCACTTTAGAAATTCTCTCAAAAAAATTTTAATTCATCTACTTAATTTGCATATATTGACAGCTGATTTTCTTTGATCAGGCTGCCAAGACCTCATTATGATCAAATTATATTCCAGAAATTGTAAATATTTGCAAATGCACAAATTTTAGATGACACAATTAAATGAGAAAAATAGTGTACCTCCCCATTCCTCGGTGATCAATTACAACTACTGCCCCTCTCCCTTAAAGATTTTGATTATTTCATCACTCAACCATCAGGCTTGTTGCACCTATTCAAGAAGTGTCGTTTGCAAATAACTTCACCTCCTACAACAAGTGCAACCAATCCTCCCCTTTCCCCACCCTCCTACCCCGCCACCATCATAGAATATATTCCCCTATTCTTATGCATTCTTTAAATTCTATTGAAGCACTTATTAAAAAATAATAATAATAAATAAATAAATTCTATTGAAGAATTCTGTGGATACAAGTCAGGAAAATATCGAGAATGTGATGGAAGGTGGGAGAAAGGAAGGGTAAGGGGGCGTAATAATAAGGGTGGGGTGGTGAAGGAAATACAAGCTGGGGCGAGAAAGTAGGCGAAACCCAGGTGTATTGAAATTTTGACACAATCGAGAAGTGTTCTTTACATAATTTCAAAAGTTAGCTTCTTTTCTATTTGCATCATTCAACTCAGTCCTTCTTCAAACAATTTCCTCCTTCTGAAACAATGTAGGCTAAACTCAGCTAAAAAACCCAATTCCTGAATTCACAAAAGCAGAACATTCCAGCAACTTATAGTCTCATAGATTAACAAAGTTAATTTATTCTATTAACAAAGTTAATTCGCTACACAGGTACACATATATCTACACAGACGAAACAATACACGGTGAAATTAAAGAAGGAGAAATCAGATTACCTAAAGCAGCAACAAGTGGTTGGAGGAAGAGGATCTGGCAAGAAAACACAAAATTCAAAATGAATATCGAAAACAAAAACCCCCTCAATGCTACCAAATCCAAACCCCAGAATTTCATTAAAGTCTCCATATCGCAATTCCCGATACCCGCGGCGAAGTATATCTAAATTACATACATATATTCGTTTTGTATGCAAGAGTAATCGTGTAGGAGTTGTATACGATTTGGAAATTTGAATTAGGCAGGTATGTATGATGTTTTGTACGGTAAAAACTCGAGTTTCATTCCACGTTACAGTAACCAATATTTGGATCCCACGTGTAATCAGCCAGAGATGTCGCCATTTTTGCCCAATGAGCACATGCCACATCAGAAGGCTCGGTTTTCCTCCGGTTCTTGAGTTTATTGAAGTTGATTTCCTTTTATCTTTCTAAAAAATAAAAAGATAAAAAGGAATTTGATCCTCTAATGCCCAAATGAATATGTAAATTATAGTTTCTTCTTTATTACATTGATCTTAAAATTTGGTTATAATAAAATTAGAAAATTTTGATAAAAGTTAATAAATGTCTAATAGAATGATACATAAAATATATGAATTTCATGAAATGTATTGTTAAAATTAATAGTTAATTTTGATTTTAATTTTTATCAATTTTTTTTAGCTAACCTATCAAATATAAATATTATTGTTAAAAGTATTAACCTAATCAAAATATAAAATTTTACACCTAAAAAGTTCTTAACAAATCACTTTGGAAATGTTTTTAAGTAGAAAAATAATTGTGCTTTTTATATTTTCTAATTGGTTTTCTACAATGCAAAACTTGTCCTATTTATTACATGAGAGTTTTCATAATTTTTGAATAATTTTCAAAGAGTAATGCTATTCAGCACCTCGAATATATCTCAAATCCGAAACACCATAGACCATCACAACTATTTACTCCTCCATTAGTTGCTTATCTGAATAATGCATAATGTTAATTAATAGAGCGTGCGATGAAGGACCATCAATCACATTGTAACAATATAAGTTGAGTATGTATAAAGAAGCAAAGGTAGGTGCAATTTATTATTTCAATCCATAACTAGTTAGTTTTGGATCTGATAACAGAGGTTGACACTCTGTTGCTCTGTCAATTGGAGCGAAATGTCTTGTCTATTGAATAGTGGATCTCCTGAAGTAGTGAAACTAATGTACTTGAAAGTTATTTGACATTACTTAAATCCTAGAAAGGATAGTGAGTGCCATTCATGAACTCGAAATTTTTTAATGTGCTAGTTAACTAAATTTAAATCAATTAATATGGTCAAATACATGTATACAGAGGGCTTTTAGTAATCGAAATAGTCAACGCGTACTTGTGTTAGGAAATCATCACCCATTTGTAGTCATAAAGTTCGCTTAAGTATTTTATGTCAAATGATTTAATTATGAGCTCATTATATAGTGATGGCGAGTCCAACAAGGTAAGACATAAAGATGATTAATCTGAGGATGTAATAAATATGAAAAATATTTAGGGTGTGCTCTCTTTGTTGTTTTCGGACCGTTTTCTATTTTTAATTTTCTAAAACGATAAAAACGCGTTTTTAAAAAAAAAAATTGTACGGAAAACACAAAATGATGTTTTTATCATTTTGGACGTTTTGTGTACAAAACTTGGAAAAGAAAACGCAGAAAATGCAGCCATTTTCAAGTCTCCCGTCCCTGCCTCTCTCTCTCTCTTCTGGAAATGGTTTGGATTCTTTCTTCTCCTACGCCAGCTATAGATGCCCGTCTCTGCTGGTGGTCAAACAGAGAAGCTGCAGTTCTTCGCGACATGGTTGATGGTAGCGACCTATTCATCGTCGAACCAAGTCTCCAGCTGTGTTTTTTCAACAGCGAACTCGGACCCTGCAACCTCGATTTTCGATGCAGGCGACCCACCTAAAGAACCCATGGGTCATCACCAATTTTGAACCAATAGGGCCGAATCAAGCTAGGTGGGGTTTTTTTGATTTGTCGATTTGGGGATTTTTTAGTTTTCTTGATTTTTTGATCTGTCGGTTGGTGTGGTGTGGTGACTGGTGCAGTGGTGGTTGTGTTGATTTTGGTGGTGGCAATGGCACGCAGTGGTTGTATTGATTTCGGTTGGCATTGGATTGGTGGTGGTGGTAACAATGGTTGACGGTTCATGGAGGTGGCAGTGGTATTGATTTTGGTTGCTTTCGACAGTGTTGATGGTGGCGGTGGTGTTGTCTGGTGGTGTCATGGTGTTGTGGTGGTTTAGAAAATTTCAAAGTAAACATGTTTTTCATTTTTTTGTTTTGAGAAACGATTTTTCAAAATAACAAAAAAAAAGGTATTTTCAATTATTTAAAAACAAACACTCAAAACACAAAACCCAAAATGAATTCAAAACTCAAAAGTACAAAATTGAAACACAAAAAGAACGCATCCTTAGCTTCTATGATTTATAGAATTTGATAGTGCAGTCTTTGGCCTTTAGTGGAGTGTGTCAAGACTAATAATTAGATTGTACAATTTGGGCCGAACTGAATGAGTCTAATTTTTAGATCTTGAATTATATAGGTTAAAATGGATCTCTTTGGTAGAGTTGGACAAAACTCCCAGACCGACCGAATCGAACCTGAACCGAATCAAGCGGTTCTTCTTAAGTTAATTACTCAAACGAGTATCTGAATCGAAAATCTAAGGGTTCAGTTCGATTCTCGATTCTAGATCAAGAATCGAATAATCAAAATTTTTAAATTTTTTAATTAATTTATTTTAAATAAGTCCATTTATTTTATTTTTGTTAAATAAATGTATTAACTAGTTAATTTGGCTCAAAACCCAAAAATATGATTTTTCCTATTTCTAATTTTCATCTCAAAGCTAACTTAATCAAATTGATCTAAATTTTATCCAAATTTGTTACTTTACCGTAGTGTTGTTTCTTCTGTTCCAGAAAAATTGAATTGAAACTCAACAATGCCTCTCTTAATTATTGTGAGCGCGTTATCTTTCTCTTCCTATGATTTTAACAATCAATTATATGAAGAACTCAGCAAAGAGAGACATAAAAGACACATAAGATTGGATTACGTTATTTTGTAAGAGTTAAAATTGAACATATCATTAGCTGAATTAATGTAGCTTGTAAATATTAAAAATTTTAATTATAATAAGGAACACGAGAACTGAATAGAACCGAATCGAACCAAACTGAATCGAATGAAACCAAACCCGAATGGTTTCATAATTAAATTTAGGCTCGATTCCACTTACTAAATACCGAAAAATTTCGGGCTCGGTTTGGTTCTGAACCAGACTATGTCTAGCCTACTCTTTGGGAACTCCAAAAGGAAATCAATGACTCAATAAGTAATTGAAGTTCAGGATTTGTTAATGAGCATAATTTCAATATATATTTTACCCTTAATCTAATTTTATTAGTTAATTTCGGTTATTAATACGTTATATTTTGGAACGGGGGAAAAAAGTGAGGAGGGATTCGGCGACCAAGGAGAACACAAAAAGAGGAACAGCAAACCGACCAGGGAAATTTTTAGAATTCGATTCTTCTTTAATACTAAGATGTTTGGGACTCAAACTGTCAAACATAGCCTTGATTTTAGCAAATGAAATGACACCATCACAATTTTTACATCTTAACAAATGAAAAGACGTCAATACATTTTTGACACTTTGACATGTTACACATTAGCGTCTTTCCATTTGTTAAGAAAAGGTCTCAAAATGTATTGTGAGAATCAGCAAACCTTAACTCGATAAAGCCAATTCTTTCAAAATTTGGTTCACGTCTGTTTTTCACTTGACTTGTCTTCCTACTACAATTTTGACATCTCACCAGCGTTAAATTTTTTAGAAGTGCCACCTCCAAAATTTAAGTAAAGTTTAGTGGAATCTTGACACATGGGAAATTTTGACAATTTTTTAATTCATCCATATCCTTAAAGGACACTCGAACCTAAACCTATATTAATGATATAATAAAGTTTCATTCTGATTTTTGTCTCTAAAAAATTTCACATTCAGTAATGTGTCAAAACTTTGATAACAAGACAATTAAGAATACCCTTAGAAGACCCACAACTAAGTCCCTGTTTGAAAGAATGTGTTTTTGAATAGTAAATATTGCGAGAATGTATGGTTAAAAAAATAAGAAAATATTTTGTGTTTACGTGAAGAATATTTTTTGTGGGAATATCAGGTTAAAAATGAGTAAAAAATAAATAAATAAATAAATAAGAGAGAGAACAGTCTTTAGAAAAGGTACCCCTACGGTTAATGGTTTCGAGATTTCAATTAAAATCACAATAAACAATCTATAGGTGGAGCTGTTAACATTCTCCTTTAGGGTGCTTATTTAGCCCCTGTTTGGTATCAATTAAAATCTAAATTTTAATTTAAGTTAAAATCAATAATTAATTTTGATCACATATTTTATGAATCCTACAATGTTTTAATCACACATTTCATCAGTTTTATCAAAATCGACTAAAAATATAATTTTAATCCCTACCAAACAGGGTCTTAGTTTATAAATATGTACAAAGATTAGGACAAGAAAATGGTACATATGCCCCTATTTGGCTCCCATTTTTTGAAAATGAAGATAGGTGGAATAGTGATATTTTGAAAAATGAGTGATTGAAAAAGAAAGAAAAGTTTTTGATTAATGAGTAATATTATTTTATGGAAGATTGTATGGTTGAAAATAAAAGAGATGAAAATAGAATGTAATTTAACGGGGGCCAAACAAGGCATATTGTTTCAATTTTTTATTATTTATTTTTTATTATTGGTATTTCAATTTAGTGTGATATTCTCAGCAAGTACAAACGTTTACATGTGCAATGAAATATCAGCCTATGTATCTTCGACTGAAAATAATCGAAGACAGACAATTAACCTTCCAAAACTTGACGAGGTCGATCGGTCAAGAAATCTCATAATTTGACGTGCCAATAATTTCAACAAAAATTGTCTCAATATATGCAAAGATATCACATATAGAATCCAAGAGTAATTGACTCTTAGCCAGCTCTATCATTCCCAATGATTTCTTACATTCCTCTCCTTATCGCTCCTTCTTGTTTTGAGGTGGGTTAGGGGATTGGACTCAGGGGTGGAACCAGCACCTGAAGAGTCCCTGCAGCCACCGGTGTTAGCTCCGTCGGAAATTCCCAATTGGAAATGTTTTTAAGTAGAAAATTAATTGTGCTTTTTTAATTTTCTAATTGGTTTTCTACAATGCAAAACTTGTCCTATTTATTACATGAGAGTTTTCATAATTTTTGAACATTTTTCAAAGAGCAATGCTATTCAGCATCTTGAATGTATCGCAAATTTGAACAGCATAAACCATCACAACTATTTACTCCTCCATTAGTTGCTTATCTAAATAATGCATAATGTTTAATTAATAGAGTATGCGATGAGGGACGATCAATCACATTTGTAACAATATGAGTTGAGTATGTATAAAGAAGCAAAGGTAGGTGGAATTTATTATTTCGATCCATAACTAGTTAGTTTTGGATCGGATAACAAAGGTTGACACTCTGTTGCTCTGCTAATTGGAGTGAAACGTCTTGTTTATTGAATAGTGGATCTCCTGAAGAAATGAAACTAATATACTTGAAAGTTATTTGACACTACTTAAATCCTAGAAATGATAGTGGATACTATTCATGAACTCGAGATTTTTTAATGTGCTAGTAGTTAAATCAATTAATATGGTCAAATACACGTATACATAGAGAGCTTATAGTAACCAAAGTAGTCAATGCGTGCTTGTGTTAGGAAATCGTCACCCCATTTGTAGTCATAGAGTTCACTTAAGTATTTTATGTCAAAACGATTTAATTATGAGCTCATTATATAGTGATGGCTAGTTTGTGATTTCTTTACAATGAAACAATGTTGTATTCACTGTGAGTTTAAGTTTTAAAAAAATTATTAGAAAAAGGAAAACGGTCATTTTAGCCAAAGTCTAATTATCGAGTGTCCAACATTGTAAGACATAAAGATGAAAAGACTTGGGATGTAAATACGGAAAAAGTATGTAGCTTCTATGATTTATAGAATTTGATAGTGATGGCAGCGGGCGTGGGCACCCCCACCCCATCCCACCCAAACTGTGCCCCCCCCGACAGGAAGGGTGTGGGGCTAGTTGCTTGTCCCGTTTGTCGTCCCGTTTATTTATTTTTTTCTCTTCAGAAGGCGGGTTCACCTCGCCCCGCCCATCCGCCCCGTCAACCCATCGGGGCGGGACAAGGTGGAGATTTTTGTCATCCCTACTCTTTGGTAACTCCAAAAGGAAATCAATGACTCAACAAGTAGTTGAAGTTCAGGGATTGTTAATGAGCATAATATCAATATATATTTTACTCTTAATCTAATTTTATTAGTTAATTTCAGTTATTAATATGTTTTATTTTGAAACAGGGAAAAGAAAAATGTGAGGGATTCGGCGACCAAGGAGAACACAAAAGAGGAACAGCAAACCGACCAGGGAAATTCTTAGAATTCGATTCTTCTTCGATGCTAAGATGTATGGGGCTCCCATTTTTAGAATTTGATTTTTAGAAAAACTTATATTTTACACAAAATGGGACTCAAACTGTCAAACAAAGCCTTATTTTTAGCAAATGAAATGACACTATCACAATTTTTGTATCTTAACAAATGAAAAGACGTAAATACATTTTTGGCACATTGACATGTTACACATTAGTGCCTTCCCATTTGTTAAGAAAAGGTGTCAAAAATGTATTGTGAGAGACAACAGACCTTAACTAAATAAAGTCGGCTCTTTCAAAATTTAGTTTACGTCTGTTTTTTACTGGACTTGTCTTCCTACTTCAATTTTGACATCTTACCTAAGTTAAATTTTTTTAGAAGAGCCACCTCCAAAATTTAAGTAAAGTTTAGTGGAATCTTGACAAATGGGAAATTTTGACAATTTTTTAATTCATCGATATCCTTAAAGGAAACTCCAACCTAAACCTATATTAATGATATAATAATGTTTCATTCTGATTTTTGTCTCTAAAAAATTCGACATTCAGTAATTTGTCAAAACTTTAATAACAAGACAATTAAGCATTTGTATGTCAATCATTCCATCATATTATTTTTTTTACAGTACTTATTTTCAACTACATATTCTTCATTAAAATAATATTACACATAAATCAAAAAAATTTCCTTCTTTATTAACCATACATTTCAACATCAATTATTATTCCATAATACACTTTTTAAAATTAAAGGGGTACAAACAGGCCCTAAGAATACCCACAACTAAGTCCCTGTTTGACAGAATTTTTTTTGGAAAGAATGAGTTTTTGAATGATAAATGTTGGGAGAATGTGTGGTTAAAAAAATAAGAAAATGTTTTGTGTTTACGTGAAGAATATTTTTTGTGAGAACATATGATTAAAAATGAGTATAAAAAAAATAAAATAATAATAATATTGGCAAACAAGGGCTAAACTTGGAGCCGCGAGGTATATAAACTCCTAGTAAAGTGAATTGGAAAGTCAAACAGTCTTTAGAAAAGGTACCCCTACGGTTAATGGTTTCGAGATTTCAATTAGCATCACAATAAACAATCTATAGGTTGTTTTCTTCTGCTATTACTATTTTTTTTTTTATATGGAGCTGTTAACATTCTCCTCTATTTTTAAGCTACTTATTTAGCCTCTATTTGGTATCAATTAAAATTGAAATCTAAATTTTAATTTAAGTTAAAGTCAATAATTAATTTTGATCACATATTTTATGAGTCCCACAACATTTTATCAACTTTATCAAAATTTATTGAAAATCTGATTTTAATCCCTACCAAACAGGGACTTAATTTATACATATGTACAAAGATTAGGACAAGAAGTCAAAGATGCACCAGTTCTTTCCTAATTATTGTTACTGATGATCATATATATCGTTTCAATTCAAATTTTTTATTGGTATTTCAATTTAATGTGATATGCTTAGCAAGTACAAACGTTTACATGTGCAATAACATATCACGCTATATATCTTCGACAGAAAATAATCGAAGAAGACAGACAATTAACCCGTCCAAAACTTGACGAGGTCGATCAGTCAAGAAATCTCATAATTTGATGTGCGAATAATTTCAACAAAAGTGTCTCAATCTATGCAAAGATATCACATATAGAATACAAGAGTAATTGATCTTAGCCAGCTCTATCATTCCCAATGATTTCTTACATTCCTTTCCTTATCTCTCCTTCCCGTTTTGAGGTGGGTTAGGGGATTGGACTCAGGGGTGGAGCCAGTACCTAACAAGTCCTTGCAACCGTCCGTGTTAGCTTCGTTGGAATTTTTTTTTCCTTATATTAGGAAGCTGTTTGAGACGGCCACCCATGCTCACCTGGATTCCTAATCTGCGACTTGTTGAACTGGTGTGGGCTAATAGAAGTTCGATTTTCAAAATGTGTCTGAAACATAAACAAATTGATTCATGAAACCTAATCGATGGAAATATTGTACATATGAGTTCCACACTAAGATTCGTGTCATAAGATTGAATAAAGTTTTACGATAGTTGTCAATGTGCAACAGTCCTTTCCTTACTCATCCAAGTTTGGGACTGAATATGAAAACACGGATGGAGCCATGTTAGCTAGTGATTGCTACTGAATTGGCTCAACCCCAATGCAGAACTCATTGAAGCAAATTTAGCCAGTTGTTGTGGCGAGAATGGATTGCCACCTTCACCTCCCATGCCAAGGAAATCCCTGGTAAGACTGTGCTCCACACCATGCAAGTTTACCGAAAATGCTTGGCTTTGTGTTGCACTTGTTTGCTTCAAATTTGATCCTTCCATCATTGAATCTCTAGCTTTGTCATTAAAACTCTTGGGCTGTTCACCGAAAACCTGGTGCAGCTCACTTCTATTTTGAGCTAAAGAATTGGCATTCGGGGAATTAGATGAAGAAGAAGAAGAATTCATCACCCCAAATGCATTGCCAAAGAATGTTGGATTTGTTCTGGTAGAGCCCATCTGCGCTGCCCTCTGCAGAAGTGCAGAAGCTGACATTGATGCCGAAGAATTCGACTGTTGTTTTTCATTATCAGAGTATAGAGAAGCAAGGATTTGGTCCATTGTACTCCTTTTGCCAATTACTTCCTCCTCCATTAGGCCTTGTCGACGTGGCAACAGATAATTTCCAAATGAAGATGTCATTTGAGGCATATCTGGTAAACCGGTTGAACTTGAAGGAATGAAAAGACTTGGATTGTAATTCATGTCAACGAAATTGTGCTGATGAGAATTAGCCTGATCCAACCAAAGTGATAGTCTTGGCTTCTGTTGATCTCCAACAAGAGAATTCCCAGAGTTCACACCATTACAATCTGGCTTAAAAACAGCTTCGACTTGAGAAATTCCAGTGGGAACATTGAACCCATGAGGAAAACTAGGGTTCATCATTGGACCATTTAGATTATCATTTCTGAAGTTCAACTTGTTGGCTGAAGCAGTAATCATTGATCTTGCACTCTCTTCTGCTAAGGCATCACAGAAAGCTCTATGTGTGATGAAACTATCTTTCCTGTAATAATGGAAAAAGGAAAACCTCGCTCAGATAAGAATGTTGAATATAGTACTGAAGACTAAAATTTAAATAAATAAATTAACTCATCGAGTTTCTAATAGCTTGGAAAATTTATAGACAAAATAGTTCAACATGATAGCAAAGTAGACAGCAGTACTGTAACAAGTTCATTTTTCGTCATCATAAAAATTACGCAAGACTAATTCTAAATGCATAAACTTTTGTACTTTTCTAATAATTGAATATTTATTCAAACAATTTAAATCAAATCATTTGTCAGCAATAAATTCATACTCAAAAATGCAATTAAAGCTTGTGGCTGTTAGCATTTATTTCTTAGAACAAATATTCCCAAACGAACAATTTTTCAGGTGGAATTAATTACCTGGAAAAGAGTGTACCACAGTCACATTTATACTCTCTAGTTCCACAAGTCTTAGAATGAGCTTTCCAGTCAGATTGTACAGCATATTTTTTGGAACATTTTTCACATTTCCATTTCTTTTCACCATGCTTCCTGCTGAAATGCTTCTTGATGCCGGTGAGGTCGCCGAGAGCTCGGGACGGATCATGGTGAACACAAGTATTTTCTGGGCATATGTAAACCTTCTTTATTATCTGATCTTTGTTAGCCCTTTGCTTAAGCTTCCATGGAAGATTGTGTCCTCTTCTGTGAAGCTGCAAATTCTGGTCCCTTCTGAAGCCTTTGTTACAAATTTCACAGATGAATCTGTTGGTGGCCATGAGAGTTATTGGTGAAAGAGCAATAACTTGAGCATCTGGATCTGTTTACCACCATCCCACCAAGAGAAAAACAAAAACCCATCAAATTTGTTAAATTTTAACTTAAATCTAACTTCAATTTTACACATAAGTATAAATGATTGTTCATAAGTGAACTAGGTTGTAGATAACATATTAAAAAAAAGTTCGAATATGTCAAATACTGTGTAAAATTCACCTGGGTTTCCTGGTAATCTCTTCTTCTTTGCAGTAGGTTTTGAATTTGATTGAGGGTTAGGGTTAGTCTCTGGTTCTTGAGGAAACATATTGGCAACCGAAAACTCATCAACAGACATGATTTCAGTATCAGTTGAAGGCGAAGGAAGTTCGAGCTTTGCTTGCTTGAAAACAAAAGAAAACAAAGAGTTTCTTCAAATACAAACAGATAGAATCTTTGGTGTTATTCACATCTTTAAATTATAATCAGATTATGCTAAAAGAAGAAGAAAGATGAACCCAAATTCCCAAACAGAAAATTTTAATGAATAAAATTCTTAAAACACTAAAAAAATCAAGAATCTTAAACTTTTCGTACTCTTGTTGCAGAGATCTGATGAAGTGCTAGTAGCTTTGTTTGGATTTCAATGAAAGCAAAAGAGAATATTTCCTTCTCTTTCTATCTCTTGCAAGTTTCTTCTTCAACGTCATGTCTTCTTTGTTTCTCTCTCCTATGAATTTTCAAAGTCGGTCAGCCATTGATTTAGCTGCTGGACCAACCCCTCACCCCACACCACCCCACCTCACCCCATCCCAGTTGCTCTATCTATATTTGTACGTATGCATTGGCAGTATGTGCTTGTAACCAGAATGTATAGAGCTGTGTGTCGTTTGTAAACAAGGAATAAAATAAAGTGGTAAAGAATTTGAATATGTCCAAGCATATCCAATCAAGTTAATAGAAAAATCCTCTGATTATACAATATCCACTGCTACTTTTATGTAGCATCTCTTTACAATTTGTTAAATTTTGGGAGCTTATATCAGCATGAAAGTTTTTAACCACTTACTCAATACATGGATTGGGTGATCTATCTCGAACAAATGAAGTCTGGAACGACAACTAAATTATTCAAAGTTTTACACTAAAGAACGAGATAATTTCGATTTATTTTTTTAGTCACAACTAACTTTGAGTTTTAAATTTTAACAAAGTAAAGCCTGTTTGAAAGTGATTTTAAATTTTTTAATTTATCTTGCAAAATGTGCGAATAATAAGTATAATTGATCGAGTTAAATTATAATTTTTAAACTTTGGCAAACATGCACTGGTATCTTGGTATCTAAACAATTTTATATTGCATTATAAGATAATTTGTTTCAATGTGATAGAGATGAGTTATTTTTCTTTGATTTTTTGGGTTAAGAAAAAATATTTGAAAGCAAGTAAAAAGTGAGTTGCCTTTTATAGATGATTTGATCGTGTATAAAATGATTACAGCATAATTAAAGCTAGACCTGTATTGAGCAAACAAACTACTGCAGGATAGGGAACAGTACTGACAGAAAGAGTTTTACAATTCCCTAGGGATTTTCAGCCACCCGTGACCCTTCTGCCTGTCTTCCTCTTTATGGATACAGTTGTTTTAATGTGCAGTTTTATGCAGTGATTTGAGATTACCTTTTCTGGGTTGATCAATCATGTGATTAAGCTGTTACGTGTCGAACAGTCAATAGTCACATGCATGTTACTGAAACTCATCGCGCATATTGGAGATGATTTTTGTATGTGATTGTTGTAATAAGTTATGTCTATTAAAACTTAAATTTCATTTTTACATTCGTGATGGTAAGAAGTTGCATGATATTTAGCCTTGTTTGACTACCATTATAATGAGAAATTTAGATAAAATGTATTTTGAAATAGTAATTTTTGAAAGAATGAATAGTTAAAAAGAACGAAATTTTTTGATTTATGTGTAATATTATTTTATTGAAAAATAACTTATTGAAAAGAATATAGAGAAAATTAAAGGGAAAGGGCTTATATAGGAAGTGGACACCGTGGTGGTGAATTGCTAGTTTCCTTGATTTCTTACACAGAGTGTTGACATGCTTTTGAAGAGTTCTTAAATAGATTATACTATTCTGATTGTATATACATTACACTTACAACATGTCAAATTCATCATGTGTAAGCATAGAGAAGGCATGGTTTATTGAGTTTGATATCGTAAGAGCGTGTTAGTTTCAACTTAACATTAAGTCTGAACTCATCAAATTGTGGGTGCCTCTACCACATTGTTTAACTCAAGTCTCAAGATTTGGCCTTCTCATACGGCTTCTATGTGGCTCAATCGATCATGCACTATAGTTCAACATCCATTATTGACAACTTGACCTATGTTTAGCTCATATGTATAAATAGTTTATAAGCATTCGAAAAGGATCGAATCATTTTTCATTCACACATTTTGAAGGAACCCATAAATGCAACTTACTTATTCATCACTCATTTCTATCCATTTAAATACATTTCCTAAACATGTTATTAATTTAAGTTTGGTAAGGGGTACTATATTGAGTTGACGCTCTTAACCACCTTTGGTCTTCTATCTAAATTATAAGTAGGATTAAGTTGTTTTGCCACGTCAAATAGACAAGTCATGTCGCAATGTCAAGTAAGCATTGAATATCAATTCAACATAATAATGATGAGGTTGAGAATGAGAATGAGAATGAGAATGAATTTCTCTATTTGATCTAACTATAAAAGAAGAACTAGGTCCATATACCCCTAATATAATTTGGCAACAAAATTGGGAACTTTATCTTGAAGTCCAACAAATAATACAACTTTACTTCTACTTTTCACTTGAATTATTCTTGACTTCTTACTAACTCATCACAGAAGTTCAATAATAATATTTAAATTATATATTTTTGGCTCCATGCACTTGTATCTTAATACCAAGAGAATTATTCTCTCTTGCTCTTCCACATATGCCCAATACTTGTTTCATATTTCCATAATTATGAACTATTTTTATTAACAACCGCAAATTCTTATACTGTCTCCGTCCCATAAAGATAGTCCTAATTTTTTTTTTTATCTGTCCCAAATTACGATCTTGTTTCTTATTTGAGAGTATAGTTAATATACTAATTTTCTAACATACCCCTATTTAATGTGCTTTGTTACCACAAATATATAGTTTAATTACATTGAATATTGTAGGCATAATTTAATTACTTGAATATTGACTACACTAATGTAAGGGGTATATTACAAAAAATGATAATAAAATTTATTATTTAAACTATATTAATTAAAATTTCTCAATCTGTGTGAAAAAATAAATAGAACTGTTTTTATGGAACGGAGGGAGTATTAAATTATAAGATTTTGTCAAGATGAACGGCTCCCATTACGCACAATCAAGATAATAAATTATACTTTGTAAATTTACAATCTACTTATAAAGTATGTATTGTACACAATATGAAAGATAAAATTT